GACTAGGGAAGGACATTAATGCAACAAAAATATGGTAAATCTTTGCATTCCTCACAAAACATTGTAAGATTTTGTTGAAGTTTATAAGCATTTTGTACACAAAGAATGACACTATTCTAATTAGTAGTTATTTGCACTCAGACTGTTAAAATACTTCAAGTGCAAGGTGATTTTAATTTTAAGTATAATAATAGTTTATCTTATATTTTTCATATTTCATTTGCATAACCTCCAGAACTTCCCTAATGAACACCAAGTTTTTTAAGGTAAATGTTTATACATTTTACTTTTCATTTTCTTTACCATATCATTAACTAACTATTATTATCATGTGCAATGCAATGAAATGACTACAATTAGGAATTAAAAAAATTACATACCTTTTATTTTTTTTTAGAATATCTTTAAAGATTTTCCTTTTGTTAAATTCATAATTTCATGTCTTTTCCTTTTCACATATAGTTAATTTTTAATGTTTTATTTTCCGTCCTTGTCCTTTACCACTTATTATTAATCTCAACACAAGTCAATGGGGCCCTAGTGGCGTATTACAGTTTCTTTGAGAGACATGCACAACTCTTTGGTCAAATTGTCATTCAGCGGTAAATATCGTAGCCTTGAGAACAAAAACAAAGTATGATGTATATTTTAAAAATGTTTAAGCCTCTTAATTATGCATGTTAAAACATAACTAATATATAATTAACTAAAATATAACAGTAAGACCCAAATACAATCTAAACTGTATCTCTAACTGTAACATATTTAGGTGAGAAACAAGTGCTATAGTCGATCAAGCAGCCAACAATACTACAGCCAATTTCATGTAACCCATGATGACAACTGCATCCCAATTTCAAAATAACCGTTGTTAGATTAGAGTGTAAAATTATCTCTTTCTATTGACTATATACATGGTTATGTAACATCTACATGTAGGCTATAAAGCTCAAACAAATCTGTTGAAGGTGTGGCACCTTTCAGAGGTTTCAACTGTATTTATTCATAGATATTTGAAATCAATTAATCAAAAGGTTATGTAAACATCTTATTGTCTATATGTATCTCTACTCAACTATCACTGTATTATTGAAGATACAAAGAGTTAATGTAGAGAATTTTCACAGCTTGTTGGTCACATGACAATACATCTGCAGTTTTAGTTTTTTAAAGGTTTCTCTCGAAATAAAGGATTTAAAACTTAGATAACATAAAACTTCAAATCATAAAATAGATTAATTTGTTAATTTCATTCATATAAATTGATATTAAAGGTGTTTAATTAAATTTTGAATGTAACACTGATTTGTGCAGGAAATGGTTTAAAGAGGTACCCATCACAAAAAGGTTAATAGTACATAGTTAAAAAGACAGAAACTACATCACTTGTGTCAGAAGTTTGATAATTTTGCAGAAGAAAAATATTACATATAATGTTTTCTATTTATATATATATTATGAACTGAAAATTACCAGTAGATCATTGGCAATATGTCTTAAAAGAAATTATTACAGAATGATACAGAAATGTAAGACTGATTATTTTTAATTACAATTGCTTCTCAACTGCAAGACCTTCCTTATACAAAATGATAGTCTTATCATGTTCATTTTTATGCAAACACATATGTAGGCTTCAATGTTTATGAGTCTCTCTTAACAAATTATACTTATTTTCTTAAAATTATTATGGGATATGCATTACATGCTTTTTTTCCAGTGGACATAACAGTCACCATCTGTTGAGTGTTGGGGAACTTTACGATTTAAGCGACCCCAAACACGTTAGCCTAAAAGTAGATCTGTACATATCAACCTTAAAAACATTACAAATAAATTCTCAGAAACTAAGCAGAACAATACAATTGAAGATTCTTTCAAACAACGTTCCAATCATATGATTTTAATATTATTTTTACCTTGTATTTTATCTGTAACATAGCTTTTACAAAGCAACATATACTTTCTGATCCAAAATAGTAAAATAAGCTTACACACCGATATATTGAACATCTTCAAAAATCAACTAGTTTTTGCAACTGAACATTCCTCAAATTTTTTCTTGTATCTACTTCTATCTATTTACACATACAGTTAGACTTTCCCTTAGTGATTCATGAAAACAATATACTAATCTGGGAACACACACACACACAAAGAAAAAAAGGTTGTGAAGGAAATTCTTCATATTTATCATGTTTTATCTAAACACATAAAGCATAACACGAAATAAGTTACAGAAAGACTTTTGTACTAATGTGTCTTGAAAATGCTATACTACACCAAGACACAAATGCATAATTCATGTTAACTGTATTATATGTAATTTATCATATAATATTTTTGTCAAAATAGACCCTTTAAGAGATACTTAAGTCATGCTACAATCTTCTTTGTAAATATATAGTTGAAAAATGGCAGATTGCAGTGTAATAATTTTTTTTCACACATAAAAATAAAAAGATGTCCATTTTTGGTTATACAAACTATGATTTGTATGGACTAAAATGCAAAAACAAAATAGTTTTTAACTTTCAATCTCATTTTTCTAAGTTTCTTTGCTGAAGTGTCAAAAGTTGTCCATATTTTGAAAGCTGCCATTTTTCAAGTAGTCTAATTTGAATTCAGTAATCCTTTATACCATGCAGCAATTTGTGACTTGTCAATATGAAATTCTTTTAAAATCTATTTCTATTTATTGAGTTTATTAAAGAAGCCAAAGTCATAGAGCTGCACCAAGTTATTCACTTTGTAATCTATGTGTTTGAGATTTAATCTGAAATACAGTTAACTTGTCTATAAAGAACTTAAAGACTAAACAACAAGGTGATGGTATCTTAGACAAAAGGTTAGATCAATTACAATTAAATAAACTAGTTTAGCAAATTAAAGAAGAAAAATTATTTCAATTAAAGAGCTAAGTGATATTTTGTTATATTGTTGAATTTTTTGACCATTCAAAACATTATTACTGTTGTTCTTTGGTACAGTGAAGAAATGGTTACCAGTGAAGTATCCTCATAAAAAAGGCTGTTAGAAGAAGGAGCCATTACGTTCACTAATGACCACAGTAAAGTTAAATTCAAACAAAATTAAATTATAAATACTTCAGATGTTTGTATGTGAAAATAAAAATACTACTACTCTTCTATTTAGCTTCTACATTTCTAGTCTATTGTATTAATTACAAATATCAGGCTTTATAAAAAAGCCAGAATCCCAAATTCAAAAAAATTTTACTTTATTGAAAATGCTATTTATTGTAGTCTAGAATGCAGATCCTAAAATAATATCTAATGACAATAAGTTACAATGAATTACTGACAATAATGATTCAAACAATTTTTTGTTATAGTGTCACCAGAACACTAATATCTGCTTTGATTCCAGTAGAAACTCATTTCTTAAATGATGTCTTACTTTTCCACCTGTTTCAGAGCACATACTTACCTCATAAAAGTTTCATGAACTAAACGTTAATAGTACTACCTGATTTCCAAAGAAACTGTTTGATGTCATCATTAGTTTGGCTTGAGTGTGATTTACTGTACCAATGAAGAACTCAGTAGGTACAGTTAAAACCTCTGATGTCTCCCAGAAATCTAGCTTTTATACATTTATATTTAGCTACAATTTAAATTGCCATGACAATATTACTATGTTCATCATTCCTTTTTTTAAATGTATAATAAGTGATTTTAGCTCTAGGTGGTAGCTATACCATAGTACGTGGGTACAATATCTGAGTACACTAAGCTGCAAAGTTACCATTCAAAAAAAAAGGTTTTGCTCTCTAAACTGAACGTTTGTAGATTCAAAAAATTCTAAATATAAGAAAAAGCTATAAAAGTCCAAATATTACATTCTCAAAGTATTTATTTATTACTTATATAAAGTTTATTATTATTCCTGGAGATTTTCCATGTATAAATTAATAAATGTATTTCTTTCTGGGAAACATCAGCTGCTGGATAGTCATTAAGAAAAAAAAAATAAAAGACTTTGAGGAAATTAAGATGAACCAAGGCATAGAGCAGTAACAGTTTAATTAGTTAAACAAAGACCTCATTCACTTTAGATGTTGTTTTAAAACAGTTTAATAAAGAGATGTTTCTAAACAAACTAACAGATACACAGACACACAAGATACTGGACCTTACTCTATGCCTTATACATATTCCAAACAAAGACAGAACAAACTGGAGTTGAGAATATACTTTAAGTTAGAATGTTGAAGTCTAATGTTTGTTATTTCACTTACTAGTTATGCATGTTTAATGTTTTATTAAAGAAATTCATGTAACAAACTTCACCAATCCCTTATTTGTATGTTAGTGGTAGATTATTGTAGCAAGTTCATTTCAAGAAATCTTGTAAATTATCAATAATCCTGATAAAAGAACAAGTCACTTGCATTACTGAATGTTCCTTTTCCTATTAACCAGCAAATAGTTCACTTATTCAAAAAAACAATTATCTCCAAATCATATCTGCTTGTTTTTGCACAATCTAAGGCCTCGCTGTTTTTTTTTAATCAAAATGGTTGCATAAAAACAAAAGAACAGTATTTTACTTAAAAATGTGATAAATTAATCATTAACTAACAGTTCTTGAACTTTTAACTAAACCTCAATGATTTTCAAAATCAGTTTTAAAAGATTTAAGTTTTAAACCATATAATTTTTCTCATTTTTATTAATCTATTAATGCATATTTATCTGAACAAGTATACACTATTTGCTTCCTCCTAATTAAAAAACAGTAATATATTATTATATAATATTTTATTATAGACATTTTAGGCATTATTTTATTAATTAACAAAAATATTTTATATTTAAAATGTAAGTTTCTGCAAGGTGATATATGTTTTGATAGTGAAGGAAAAATGAAAATTTAGGCTTGAGTGAAAAGTGTATAAAATTGATATCAGTTGAAAGAGCAAATGTTTTTATTCTCAACACCAGCTGTTCTGTATCTCTATCAACCAGGCAACTTACCTTAGCTTGTTTGTGCCACAGGTTAATATTCTTCCTCTGTGCCTTGGTGAAATGGTCCCAGACTTTTTGGTGATTGGCTGTCGTGAATACCTTCTCTATCTGATTGACTTTGAAGATAGGGAGATAATTAAAGGATGACTGGTAAACTCAAACTTCACAGGAAAAAGCTATGCATCATAGCTTGACTTGACAATCACTCTCATTCAGTTTGTTAATTATACCACAGAGTATTTAAGAAAGTTACTTCTTACCATTACTTGCTGAAGAGATGATTAAGCCAGAAACCCAATCGAGGAACATTACTGGATGATAGACTGTTTCATTCAGGACACTTTTCCTGTATCATGATGATATATTCCTAACCTGGAAGTAACTTTATTGACTCTAGTAACATATTCATTGCTAAGTATTCTTCTCTTTATCCACTCTGATAAAATAAACCTACCTCCAAATATCTGTACCTCATGTAATGTGTGTTTAACCCACATGTTCATGACAATCATAACCTCTGTTATAACCCAAAATAGAAAAAATTGATATCAAAACATCTTTCTTATATCCTGATGATATAATAACCATTACGTATTAAATTCCAATAGGCATACTTCTGGTATTGGCGAGATATTTCTAATTGATATAGATGAGTTATTCTGAGAACTTCTAAGTGAGCACATGTTCTGCAATCATTCTAACAACACTTCTACAGGACTTACACTTCTTTCTGACAAACTTTTTAGTCAGTTTCCTCTCCAACTATTTTTGTAAAAATATACATAACTTGAAATCTTCACCAGCCACTCTGATGACATACTCCGGGATTTACAATTTCCTGACAAAATACACCTTTCAAACAAATACCCTTCAATTATTTGGGTAAAAGCAGAAATTCATGATTATCATGATCTACCTTATATGATGGTATACTTCCTGACCACACATACTTTTCAATCAGGATAAACTTCTTATTTTACTGAAACACACATACAACTCATAATTTTCACAAGTTGTTCTGATAACATACGTCCCTCAAGAACTTTCCTGACCACATATGTTTGTAAGATTCTTCTGCTTCTATTATGATCAAAATACATTTAAATTATAATAATTAACAGTCATGATGACGATGTTACTAAAGATTTGTAATCCATCTTTACAAAAGAATGTCAAACTCAGCCTCTGTATATTGTTCTATTGTGAATGTAAGATACCTAATACTAGACCAGTGATCTGAGTTTGATATTAGCCACATATCTTTCAAATGTTGATAATCTGTAATGTATATCAATAAATAGTGTTTGTAACTTAGAGACTGCTGGTAAATGAACTAAGAAATTTCTAATTTGTGTTAAAAGTTTTAGCAAGCAATTCCAGAATCAAGTATTAAGAAGGTATACATGTACACACAAACATTTAAAAGAAAAATATGGATATTTAGTTGTAAAGTTCCTGCAAAAAGTTAGTTATCACAAGTTTTTGCAACAGTAATAGAACATTAACTGTTTTCTTTAAAGAGTGAAATACAGAGACTTGAAACAGGGTTCCATGTTTGACTTCTGCTTAAATTAATTTCACATCTCCTATGGATCTACTAAATTGATAGAAACTATATCAATGAAAACCCACATAGATGAAGAAATGTACAGCTATCTTAAACCTATGAAGCATAGCTTAAATTTATAACACAAAATTATTAACCCACAATACTTAAATAGTTTCAAGTGTATATATAGGTGGAATCTGCATATGAAAAAAACGTCAGCATAAATGCAATTTAAGACTTTTCTTTACGGTGAAAATAATATTGTTGTGGTTTCATTCACAAATTCTATATCCGAAGCCAGGGGGTAAGGCCAGACTCCCAAAACAGGGAGAAGTCACTTCTCCCTCCAAGTGCTAACAGTGAGAAGTTTTTTTGAAAATAAGGAGACTTCACGTCTGTATCAAACTCATTTACAATGTGAAAACACCATTTAAT